GATGCTCCTTGTGCATCTCGATGTCCGTCTTGTCGTTCACAGCCCGGGTGTGAACGTACACATCGTCGAAGTAGCTCGGTGCGAAGTCGCGCACCGAACGCAATAGATGCGTGACGCATCTATTGAAGGTTGCAGGGGCGTTCTTCAGTCCTTGCGGCATTACTAGCCACTCCCAAAGCATACCGCTTGGGGTGCTTACCGCCGTGAGAGGAATATCACTCTCACGCATCAGGATCTGATAGAACCCGTCTCTCAGATCAAGAGCACTGTACTCTTGGACATCGAATCGATGATAACATCTTTTCGAGGTATCGGCGTCTGCGCCGGTATCGTCGCATCGTTCAATTTGTTGTACGCATGAACGATGCGTCAACCACCCTGAGGCTTCTTGACACAGAACGTCGGTGCGCTGTGCGGAGATTTTGATTCCCGCACTTGTCCTGCCTTGCGACGACTTTCGAAGAAGTCGTCGATTGCCTTCACTTGCTCCCGCGGCAGTGGCCACTGCCGCGTCACACAATACTTCGATCCCGGCACGAGATCAATCTCGTGCTGTATTCCCTGTCTTGCGGAAGCTCCGCAGGGATCTCGTCCGGAAGCACGTCCTTGTGCTCTCGTAGAATCTCGTAATAGGGACTCAACTTCAGTGAGTCCCAACTCTGCTCCTCGAAGCGTTCCTTCTTGGTCTTGGCACTGAGAGTATCCTCGCTCTCAGTGGCGCTTCCTGCGAAGAGTTGCCTCAACTCTTCTGCTTCGCTTGTCATTCTTTCGCGTTCCGAAAGAATGCATAGCTGTTCGATGCGTCCATCGTAGTCCTTTGCGAAGCGCTTCCAGCTCATGACTGGAAGCGAGATCAACTCCGACGCATCAGTCGGAGGGTTCTCCAACTCCATCTTCTCGTACTGATACCCAGTACAGGCCCGCGTCAAGACGTTCAACGTCTCGACGGCCATTGTTGCTACTTGTGTCTGCCCGGCAGACATGCCATGAAGAGTCTCGGTCCCCGACCGAGACTTGCGCAACGTCTTGTGCTTGCGCCGTCGCTTCTTCTTGTAAATCCCTGATTCACTTGCGTTTCGTCCAGGCCCGGCCATGGACGAACGTTCCTTGATTCTGCCGGCAGACATTCTAGTCTGCGGGCGACCGCCGGCGGGTTCTTGTACCCGCGGGCACGCGTCATCAAGCCCGGCTTGATCGCGCCCTGCTTCGTGCAGTCCGGCTGCACGACAGCACGCAAGTTTTAGTGCTGGGCATTTGCAACCGTTCGCACAACTTGTCGCATCGACTCTCGGAGTCACCTCTACGCCTTTCGGCGGAGCAGTGTGTCGCAACTCCCAGAGCTGACACACCGTTGTCACCTCGACGCCTCACGGCGGAGAACTTCCTCGATTCTGATTTCGAGTGCGTGTCGACTCCCAGAGTCGACACGCTGTTGTCACCTCGACGCCTTGCGGCGGAGAACATTCTAGAAGTGTCTGGTCTCTTACCGGACACTCGTTTACTGTCAACGACTCTCGGAGTCGTTACAGCTCGCGCGCTCCTCG